ATTATCTGCTTTCAACGCCTTCTACTGCATGTTTCTACCTACTTCTTCCGACCGATGGGAAGTCGAGCATGCTGGATTCCTCAAGCTCGCTTCACGAGGGTAGCGCCTTCCGTGGGAGCACGTCTCCTTCTGTTGGTGTGCGGGGCGCCCGTTTCCCTTCCCCCACAGTACACCAGGGTACAGCACAGCCCGTGCTACGATGTGAAGAGAGTTCTGCCCCAGCAGGTGGAATCTGACTCTTGGGGCACCTGAAGCACATGTATGTTCGCTCAAGGGTGTGCTCACGATTGTCCCTGGCACAGGCCAGCCGTTGGCCTCCTGATGTTGCTTGCATTGGATGTGGAATGCTCTCATTCACTGCCCCGCACACCACACTGGTGTTGTTTTTAGTGCTCGAAGCTACGCCGTGTGCTAATATCTGGTTGGTAATTATGCCATGAATGCGCGGAAGTTATCGGCGCACGGGCTGTACGTACATTGAGCAGCTCGAATTTCCCAGTCTGAAGGGGGGCTGGATGCCATAGCACTATGGTGCTCTTCCCTTTCCCTCCGATTATCGCTCGTCGTTGGCTCCGCAAGCTTTCGAAGCTTTCCCGTCGTCCTCCGCGAGCTGGGGATGCGGGGTCAGTCATGTTGAAAGCTTCGCGGGCCTCTTGAGAACATCAGGACTTTCCTATACCCACTGTCGTACACACGCGGCAGAATTTGCATGCGTTCGGCGCTAGTTTGAGGCACGCCAGAGCTTGATTGGGAACCCTCCAGAACCGTGCAAGAGATCCGCGCACCCCCTGTGGATACCCAGCGACGCTGTGTAATGGCTGTGGCATGGTTTGTTGGCCCCTGAACCGATCCAGGAATTCCGCGCGGGAACCCGAGACGGAGTCTGTCGCATGGTTTTGGTAGCAGGGATTTCTCATTTGCTCCGCGGGGTGGGGGGGTGGGGGGGGGGGGGGCGAATCCCCGCCAAGCCCATCCCGTGAGCAGCGCCGCGCCTTCTGTTGTTCCGGGTCTGACATTCTCTAGCCTTGCCCAGCCCGTGTCTTTTGGGCGATCTCCAGGCTTGCTGCAGCATGCCCGTGTGACGCGTGGAGTCTGGATGAGTTTGGTTTGGCCTGGTCTCATCTGGTCGGGCCTTTTGTGATCTGACATCCCGTCCTGCCTGGTCGCCAACCTCCTGATACTGCTAGTTACCCTTCAGCCGGCAATCGAGAGAAGTGCACGTTCACTTGAGCGCTTTCTTCGTCCTCGTGCTCCCCCCTGATTCCTCGCCGACGAGAAATGAGCCTCCGACAACCATGGAGCCCGGGGGGGAACTCTCCCCACAGAACGGGCCAACTCTTCGAGTCTCCCGGCGTCCTTGTCACCGGCGTGACGGCAGTCCCGTCTCGGGCTGAGTCGGGACGGTGCAATAAGGTGGGTGCGTTGGTTAAGGAGCGTGCCCAGGAGGCTTCAGACCCTGCAGGGTTCCTTACTTGATGAGGGCGGCGCTAATATTCACTGCCAATCCGCGCTTCCAGACCCTGGATTCCTTATCCAATACTTCCTTTTCCAATGCCACCACCGTATTGCTTCCACGACGGTCAGGACGACGGGAGATGGCCATCCAGACGGCCGAAATGGTTTCCATCACGGCCAACATGGCCCAAGGTAGCCTCCAAGTGTGCCCAAGACGGCCTCACGAGGGCCCAATGGGGCCTCGAGACGGCTTTCGAGGCCACCCAACATGCTCCAATATGGCCACACTATCGGCGACAGGTTATCCAAGGCTTCTTGATGGGCTAGTGGGGGCCTTCGGGTCTGTCTCGGTGTTTTCTGGGCCCCTCTTTTGGATACATTGGGCCATGCTGGCCCTGTTTGGAGAGCTCAGAAGCCCATCGGAAGTGATCCGTCGAGAGAAATACATGACAGAACCTCGAAAGTTTGGACGATGATGGCCTCTTGGGGGCATCCCCCCTGGCTGCCCTCGTATTGGTTTCCATGCAGTGCCCGTTCCTCGCCGGCAGCGGCAGCCCACCAAGCAACCCTCTTGCCCCCTCATCGGAAGGAGGAGACGCGACACCGCCACCAGCGGGCTGCCTCCAGCGAGAAGGCGCGCGATGCCCCCCCCCGTGTCCCCACCCTCCGCCCTCGCCGCCCCTCCCACACCCCCCGCTCGCCGCCGCCGCCGCCCCCCCCCCCCTCTCTCCCCCCCCCCCCGCGGCAGCGGCAGCGTCGGCTCGAGAGGCTGCCCAGGTGTCGGCCCGAGGGTGCGCGGCCGCGGGAACACAGGGCCCCGCGCCCCCCCCCCCCCCCTCTTCTGGTCCCTCTTGCCCCGTCCCCTCCTCCCCCGCCCTTCCCTCCTGCTCGTGCTGCTGCTGCTGCACCTTGTTCTCCCCTGGCGATGGGGGACGTGGGAGGGAGAGGGGGAGGGGAAGGAGGAATGATGGGAAGCGGGATTGGGATGGGGCGAGGAGAGAAATTGATGCGGAGGACGCGGAGGAAGGAATGGATTGACAAGTGAGTGAGTGAATGTCCATCATGGTCCAGTGTGTGTGTGTGTGTATGTGTGTCTGCCAGTTTGCTGTGGATAAGATGCGTATTCTAAAGCCGAGCGAAGAATGAGTTGAAGAAGAGGAGGAGCACGAGGAGAAGGAGGAGGACGAAGAAGAGAAGGAGGCGGATGAGCAGGACGCGGATGAAGAGGGGCTTGCGGCTCGCGCGGATGTGTGCGGCTCGTGCGCATGGGTGCCCGCGGGGGCGTGTCCCGCTTTGGACGCACACGGAACGAAGCGAGGGGGATGGAATTGTGATCCATTGACTTTATTTGCCTCAACGACCACCCTGCGGGTGATAAGGAGGTCGGGGGGGAGGGGGCCAGCAATGGGCAACAGTGGTGATTGTTGTTCTGACGATGCCAGTGGAGATCGTTGCGTTGTTGCTCGCTCTTGGGAGCCTTGGTAACGAGTTGTTTCCGTCACCCTTCGCTATCGATTCCATTATCGATGTCGCTATCGATCTCACTATATAATTCCACTACCGATCTCGCTATCGATCCCACTCGATCGATCTCACTATCGATCTTACTATCGATCTCACTATCGATATCACGATCGATCTCACTATAGATCTCACTATCGATCTCTCACTATAGGTCTCACTATCGATCTAACTATTGGTCTCATTATCGATCTCACTATCGATCTCACTGTCACTCTCACCACGGGACACCACGGGACAACGACGGGACACCGGCAGAACACCAGCGGGACACCAGCGGGACACCGGCGGGACTCCGCCCGCCACCGGTTGCCGGGCGGAGAATTGGGTCACGTGGCCCAGCCACGACGGGACACCGGCGGGACACCAGCGGGACACCCGGGACACCGGCGGGACACCGCGCGCCACCGGTTGCCGGGCGGAGAACCTTTTGGTCCAGCCGCGGCCCAGCCACAGAAGAGTTTCCTCTCCCCCGCCCACGCAGCTTCGCCTCGCCCGCACGCACGGCACGAACACGAAACCGAAATCGATTTCCTGGTAGGGGGCTCTCCGTTCCACTTCGATCTCACCCCCCAGCCTCCGATCTTCAGGCTGGCCGTTTCCCCCCCCGATTTCCCCCCCTCCTCCGATGCCCCCCCTGTCAGGACGCAGACGAAACGAAGCGATGGGGGAAGAATGAGTTACCCGCTGGATGTTCATCCTCAGGCTGACCCCCTCTTGCTCCCTACTCTCTCCCCCCCTCCTCCGACGGGCCCCCTTCAGGACGCAGACGATACGAAACAATCGGGGAAGGATTGGTGTCCAGCTGGAGTTTCATCCTGGGGGTGGCGCCCAGCTGGATGTTCATCCTGCATTTGTATCCTCTGGCTGCCCCCCTCTTGCTCGTTCTCCCTCGCTCTCTCTCTCTCTCTCTCTCACTCTCTCTCTCTCTCAGTCTCTCTCTCTCTCTCTCTTTCTCTCGCTCGTTTCCCTCTCGGTCTGCTCTCCCGTTTTCTCTCTCTCTCTCTCTCTCTTTCTTTCTCTCTCGCCTTCTCCGATGGGCCACACTTTCATGACGCAAAAAAGACGAAGCGATGAGGAGGGGTTTGTGTCCAGCTGGATTTTAGCGTCAGGCTGTCCTCCTCTTGCTCCCCACCCTCCTTCCCCACCCCCTCCTCGCATGGGCCCCCGTCAGGACAGACGAGTCGAAGCGATGGGGGAAGGATTTGTGTCCAGCTGGACTTGTCCCGATGACCTTCCTTCAGGACGCAGGCGAAACCAAGCGATGGGGGACGGATGTGCGATCTGCTGGGTTTTCATCCCCTGGCTGCCCCCCTCGTGCCCTTTCTCTCTCTCTCTCTCTCTCTCTCTCCTCCCACTTCTCTGGTGGGCCGCCTTTAGGACGCAGACAAACCGAAGCGAGGGGGGAAGGATGTGTGACCCGCTTGGTGTTTATCCTCAGGCTGACCTCTTCCTGCTCCCCCCTCCTCCCCCAATCTTCCTCTCGGCCCCCGTCAGGATGAGGACGAAACGGAACAAGACGAAACGGGGAAGGATGCACGACCCGCTGGATGTTCATCCTCAGGCTGCCCCCCCTCCTGCTCCCCCCCCCTTCTCCCCCCCCCCTTCTCCGACGGGCCCCCGTCGGGACGCAGACGAATCGAAGCGACGGGGGAGGGATGTGTGACCCGCTATAGTTTCACCCTCAGGCTGCTCCCCCCTCCTGCCCCCTTCCCTCCTCCAATGGGCCCTCGTCGGGACAGGCGGAACGAAGCGACGGGGGAGGGACGTGTGACCCTCTGGATGTTAACCCTCAGGCTGGATGTTCACACGCAGGCTGCCTCCCCGCTCCCCCCCCTATCCTCCGATGGACCCCGTCGGGACGCAGGCGGAACGAAGCGACGGGGGAGGGACGTGTGACCCGCTGGATTTTCACCCCAGGCTGCCCCCCCCTCCTACTCCCCCCTCCTCCCGCCTCCTCCCCCCTCCCCCTCCCCTCCCCTCTCTCCCCCCCTCCCCCCCCTCCTTCCCGATGGGCCCGCCAGTGGCCGTCCCGCGCGCCGCCTGCGGGCGGCGCCGCTGCGCCCGCGGGCTTCGGGCGCCGCCCCGCCAGTGCCCTTTTCTCGATCCGAGAGATCCGCTTCGATGTCGATTCCGGCTGGCTTGGCATCGGTTTTCGATAGTGATTTCGATATCGATGTCGACATCGGTTTTTGATATCGACTTCGGTTGGCTTGATCCAGACATCGGGCGCCTCGAACAAATCGTCGTCGAGGCTTTTCGTAGGTCTCGGCTTCCCCGGGCCTTTCACCAGGCCAAAGGCGATTCGGGAGGAGAAGCTGGTCAGGGAAGTTGTCGAGAGGCCAGAGGCCTGTGTTCGGAAAAATACAGGTTTGGGATGTATGGGGATCCGATTGGGTTTGATATCGACTTCGGCCGGCTTGATCCAGACATCCAGCGTCTCGACAGCGGACCAGAACGGTAGACAACAGAAGACACATATTGCAAACTAACACGGCGGGCCACAGGAGCAACTCATGCCAGATCAGCACGGCAGACCACAGGAGCACGGCAGACCAGCACGGCAGAACGTCCGTAGCCATTCTGGCTCAAGATGTTTTTGCCCCTCGGACAGAGAGTGGATACCTCTGGTCCGAGGCTAGCATCTATTCTTGCAACCCCAGTCGAGCTGCGCGCTGCTGGGGCCCAGAGGTTCGCCGAGAGCAGCGGGGCACTCCTTGTCCTCGCCTGGAAGTGTGCCCATGGCGCGCTCCCCTGGGGCGCCGCCTGCGCCGCCGAGTGGGAGCTACTGGTGGTGCAGTTCGAGCTCGTGTCGAAACTGGACTTGGACGTCGAAGAGCCAGTGCTACGGTTGTGGTGCGAAGGCCCCCGCGTGGGTCCGGATGTACTCGAGGTCGCCAGCGCATGCGGCCAAGGATGGGCCCAAGGCAGAGGGCGCCACCGATGGAGACGGGCTGGATCTCGCAGCCTCGTGGGTGCCAGGCTCAGCGCAAGGCGTGGAGTGTGGCGCGCGCGGCGTCGGGGAACAACGGCCGCACCTCCGTCGGGACGTCCACGAACGGGGCCAAGAGCCCAGAGAGCGGCAGCAGCGGGCCAGCCAGCGAGGTCCAGGGCATCCTGGCCTCCATCGCGCGCTTCGAGGACCTACGTGAGCATCCCCCAGTGGGGGTGTCCGGCAGCTTCGTCGCGGAGATCGAGGCCCAGCTGTTCTGCAGGCGAGTCGGGCTGGAGGAGGCCCGTGCTGCGGCGGAGGTGGCCAAGGCTGCCGAGCTGCCGCGCTCCGCGCGCATGCAGATGGGAGGCCAACGCGGCGGGCAAGGCAGAGAAGCGCCTTGGCAGGGCCCGCAAGGCCCTCGAGGTCAAGCGTGAGGCGCGCGAGGAGCTCGTCGAGCAGCTCGCCGCCCTCGACGCCGAGCTGGAGGAGGATGAGGCGGCCTTCCGCCGCTTGGAGGCAGATATCCAGGCAGCAGCGGAGGCCGAGCGGCTGCGCCAGGCGGCGGAGCTCGCCGAGCGCAGCCACATGCCTGGGCTCCTCACGCAGCTCCGCGGCCTGCAGGCACCGCAACGCGCCGGCAATTTCGAGTGCGCGTGGTCGGAGATCGAGAAGCAGATGTCAGCTGTGGTGGCGCAGTTCGCTTTGGCCAGCGCACCGCCGCGCGAGTCATGGGCGGAGAGCTGCACCATCGACGACGAGTTGGACATCAGCGACGACAAGGCCCCCCTTCGCCGCAGCCGCCGACAAGGCCAAGGTTCGACGGGCTTGGCCAGCCCAATCCGCGGACATGCGTGGCCAGGGTGAGCGGTTCGGGGCTGCCGCGGGCCCGTGGCCGTGCGTCTCTAAGGTTTCCAGGCGCCTTGTGTCGGATGTTGAGAGGGCCCCTGTGCGGCCTGCTCCTGCAGGCGAGTGCGGCGGCGGCAGCGCTGCAGTAGCCTCAGTAGTGGGGCAGCCAGGCCTTTGACCTCGAGGTCGGCATGAGCGCTCCCTCCCAGCACCGAGGTGCGGTAGCCAGGTGGGCCTGCCCCTCGGCCAGTCCTGGCCCGCAAGGCGACAGCGCCTTGGCCGACTGGGAGCTCGGGGGGAGGAGTGCAACCAGGCACGTCGTAGTTTTTTCCCCGGATTGAGACTAGGTGGTCCTCAGAGGACCTAGACTTGGAACGTCTTGTACGGAAGGTAAAACAGGCACAAGGAGCACGTAAGGAAAATGGCTTCGCAGCTGTAGCTCTGTGCTGCAACTTCTCTGGTAGACTTCAATCAGTACGCCGGCGCTTCGTACCCTGCGTGGGCAAGAACGGCGAATTGCTGTAAATCTTCACCGGTGGCGGGTACTTGATGTCGCCCGTACCAGGCACTGTTGGGGTCTCCTGGAAGTCGTTGTACTGGTTAATGAAGTGGCCGAAGTCTGCGCCCCCGTTCGTGGTAGGGTTGTAGACGAGGTCCACGAGCTGTACATCAGGAAGAACTGAACGAAAGTTAAAACCTGGAGGAACGTAAACATGGAGAGGAAGAGGAAAACAAATCAGCCACAAGAGAACATCGGGACGAAGTCGCTCGAACGTCCTAGGCCTGGTTCAAAACCTCACAATCCTCTACCATCTTTGTCATGGCAACGAGCCCCATCCAGCAGACAGCCACTTGGAGCTCCGCTTTGCGTGCTGGGGACTTGTCAGCCGAGAAGGTAATCCAACCCGTCTTCAGTGTAGCCCGCGGCTGGCGTGACCACCAGTCCGGTGGAATGTGGTACGTGGAATTGAGCTCCTGGCGGAAAGCGTCTAAAGAGCAGCACTCGGCCTCGTAGTGGCGCACACTGGGATGGGCTCCCCCGCAGGAGGGACAGGTCGTTGTTCGCTCCGGCCTGCTGGTGCTCCATCGTCGCGTCGGGTTGCGGGTTGCACCGCAGCGGGTTGTAGTCGAGGTTCTCGCCGTTCCCGAAGATGGTGTTCTGGTGGCCTCCTCCTCCTCCTCGCCCTCCTCCTCCTTCTCTTCCTCCTCCTTCTCCTCATCATCATCATCATCATCATCATCATTGTCCCGTCCTCCTCCTTTTGGGGAGGCTCCCAGCGGTCGGTCGGTGGCGCGTCCCCCCCCCGAAGGAGGCGCTGGGCGCCCTGTGCGCGGCGTGCATCGCTGGCGCGCGCTCCCCGGCCCCTGGCTGGCTGCTGCGGCCGTGGTCCCCCGGCGGGGCGCCGGGGCCGTGGCGGGCGCGGTCCACGGCGCCGAACCGGCACTTGTGGTCATGGCGCCAGCATCGCAGAGCGGATTTCGCTCGATCGGAGAACCATGGGGCCCGGATTGTCGCGGAGAGTTTCGTGCCGGACTTCGATGTGAGTCTCGCGCGGATTTTGTTTGGCCAGGGGTGAAGACTTCAGAACATCCGTGTGCAATTCACTTCGTTTTTCGCTCGCCGTTTTGGGGTTCTGCGTTGGCAGAAGTCCACGCGCAAATCCGTTGCAGCACGTCTGCAAGGTCGGTGCAGTGACATCCCATGCGTCCCATGCTCTGGCGCGTAACGGTCGTCACCCCGGTGACTATCGCACGCAGGGGGTTGGGCCTGGACCGTGCCCCACATGCTGGTGCTCGCGCGCGTACCTCGGCGATCGCAACACACCCCCGCCGCGTGCCAAACCCCGGCCAAGCGCTACCTTTACCCCAGGGCCCAAATCCCCCCCCCCCCCCCCCCCGGGTAAAGACCGCTACACGAAATTAGGACGAAGCCATATCCTCCTACCCCCCTCGTCGCCCGGGCCCTTGGCAGAGTAAGAACCCCTGGGCGCAGGCACAGCGTTGTGGGAAAAGCTCTCAGGAAAAAGGCATGCCACGTTTCAGACGTCTCCCGATGTCGTGTTTTCTCACTTGCGGTGCGGCTGTTGTCTGGGGGGGGGGTCCAGTATCGTCACCGTTCTCGGGCCCCCCAGAGGTCACTCTGGAGGCCTTGATTGAGATCCCCAGACGCCCCCAGGTCCCACAGCGTGCTTGCGCACCACAGCGTGCTTCTGCCAGGCGACGACGGAAGCCATAGCCAGACGGCGCCGGCGCGAACCGTGACGTTACCAGGGTTTGGAGGGGCGGCCTGGGCAACGGGCGTTGCCGCGAATCCTAAGAAACGCTCTCACCGCCCGATCCCTGGACATCTCGACCTCTTCCAGGGGACGCGCTCTTCGCCACGGCTCGCTGCTTCTATGCCCCCCGACCACGCAGACGGCCCCCCCGACGACAAACACAGCGAAGCTTAGATGACGTGTCCAACCATCGCAATTGCCAGTGCAAGTTGTTGTTCAGAAGTCAGAAACCCTGCTGCGTTGGTGCCTCTTTTTGGATGGAGCGCCGCGCTACCCGTCGCCTCACCTCCTTCTCCTCCTCCTCCTCCTCCTGCTCCTGCTCCTCCTCCTCCTCCTCCTCCTCCTCCTCCTCCTCCTCCTCCCTTCTCTCCTATGTTCACGCCTGCTCTCCCCTCCCTCCTCCTTCCTCCTCCTCCTCCTCCTCCTCCGCCCCCTCCTCCTCATTTTCTTCTACACCCCCTCCTCTTCGCATCCTACCTCCTGCCTCCTGCTGTATTCCCAACCCTCCTGTGTTGGGTGTTCGTGTTGAGTAGAGCGCTGCTCGAGCCTCTCCTCCTCATTCTCCTCCTCTCGCTCCTCCTCCTCCTCCTCCTCTTCCTCATCATGTTTTCTGCCTTTTGCCTCTTGCCTCCTGGCCTCACTACTTCTGCGGGCGCTGCCACCACTCAACCCTTGCGGCTCTCTGGGATGCTGCCATCTGCGCAACACTACCTCCACTCTCGTGGGATCCTGGGAGATCCAGCGGAGGCGGTAGGAAGGCGAGACCTCGCGGCTCCCTGAGTCTGCGACCGGCGCAAGTGTCGCCACTTTCGTGGGTTCCTGGGAGGTCCAGCGGAGTAGATGGTGATTCTTATATTGTTCGTGCCGCGTGTTCTCTTGTATGGAGTCGCCTCGCGTGGAGAAGGGGCTGGTTACGCCTAGGGTAATGTATGTGGTAGAGTTTCGACATAATATCGATCGTGCAATTATCGATATATGCGATAGTTGCTGGATAGGCGCAATAGTTGGAAGCGGACCTCCAAGAAGACTCCTATGAACGCATAATGGGGTCGTTTGGGAATCGTGCCTGCTCCCCCTCCTCCTCCTTTCTCTCCTTTCTCTCTTCCGCCTCCTCCTCCTCCTCCTCCTCCTCCTCACCCAGACCCATCCTCTCCTCCTTGCCCTCCTCCTCTTCCTCCTCCTCCTCCTGTCCCTTCGCTTTCTTTGCTCTCCTCCTCTCCTCCTCCTCCTCCTCCTCCTTCTCGTCCTCCTCCTCCTCACCTAGACCCTTCCTCTCCTCCTCCTTGTCCTCCTCCTCCTTCGCCTCCTCCTTCCCTTCGCCTTCTCCTCCTCTCCTCTTCCTGCTTTCCCTCCTCATCCTCCTCCTCCTCCTCCTCCTTCTCCTCCTCCTCCTCACCCAGACCCCTCCTCTCCTCCTCCTTGCCCTCCTCCTCCTGTCCCTTCGCCTTCTCCCGCTGCTGCGGCTCCTGCTTTCCTCCTCCTCCTCCTCCTCCTCCTCCTCCTCCTCCTCCTCCTCCTCCTCCTTCTCCTCTCTCTTTTCCTTCCTCATCCTCCTACCTCTCCTCCTTGTCCTCCTTGGAGCTCCGAGCTGCGGACCTTTGTTTCAGCGAGTGCGGCCCTCGAATCCCTCCCACCGGAGCGCTCGTGGGAGGGGGCAACGCACCACCAAGAGGCAGGGGAGAGAACAGTAAGAAGACAAAGTAATGACGATGGTGATGCACCCGAGAGGGAGGAGGAGAGCGGGGTCAGGCTGTCCACGGCGGCCCGGTGCGCGCGCAGGTGGGGCCTGAGCGTGGGCCCGCCAGGGGGGGGGGCTGAGGCCCACCTCGGCTCGCCTTTTCCTGTGGCGGGGGCCCTCCTCCTCGACCCTGTGAGGTTCCTGGGAGGTGGGCGTGGTGGAGGGGGGGGCGCGGTGGGCCCGCGCGCGGACGCGCGCGCGCCCCCGCGGGCGCCGCCCGCCTCCACCACGGCTTCTGCCCCTTCGCCGAGGAGGGCCCCGCGCGCGCCGCCCGCTCGCGTCCCCCGCCGCGGGGGCGGTCCTCGGATCAGGCCCGGTCTGTTTTGGCGGACGTTGGTCCCTCCATGGCATTCCTTGGCCAGGAGGTCGGGGTGCGAGGACCTATACGACCTACGCGCGGTGAGGCGCGGCGGCAAGCGGCGGGAGGGGGCAGTGGGGGGGGGAGGTGCAGAGAGCGCGGGCGCTGGGCGGTCACGAGCTTTCGGCGCGGGCGGGCTGCGGCAGCGTGGGGGGAGTGCGAGAGTTGGGACAGAGTGCGCGGGTAGGGTGGAGGGGGTGGCCCGAACGGTGCCACCACCAGAGGGGGGGACGCGATGCCGCCCTCGGCGCGGCTCTCAGAGGTGGGCGCGGCTGCCTGGTCCACGGCCGTCCGGGGGGGCCGTATCCCCCCGCGGCGGCCTGTGCCAAGCGCGGCACTTCTGGTCTCCCCTCGTGTCCCATGGGTCTCATCCCACCCCGCGCTCTGGCCCCCGTCTCCAGGCGGCGCGGGGGCGAGGTGGAGGAGCTTCGCGGGCGAAAAGTGTGGTGGGTGGGGGGGGGCGAGAAGAGGGGGCGAGCGAGGGGTATATTAGAATGTGCCTGGAGGTGCCTCAGAAAGGGGCAGCGGGGAAAGTCGCAGAGGTTTGTGGGGCTGCGGAGTAGGAGTAGTCGAGGTGCACATAGTCCAGGAGGTTGCCATGGTGAAGGTAGATGCGGGAGGGCGTGTGTGGAGTCGTACTGCGCTCAAACCGTGAAAGTAGGCGCGTCGGCCGAGGTAGCCGAGCGCGGTGGAATTAGGGAAGAGCGTGGGTCTGTTCAAGCGTAGTGCGCAGATAAGGCCACTCCTGCTGCTGCGGCATGGAGTTGCTGGAGGTAGTTGCTAGTGTGCCGCCAGAAGGTAAGCCGGCGTCGCTGCTGCGAGGGTTGCGGCTTGCGAATGCGTAGGATGGGCGGGACGGGGCTGTAGGAGATGGCGCAAACATGGCAGCCAGCTGTGCGAGCGCCGTCGAAGAGCAACATTCGGCGGAGTGTGGGAGGTTGAGCTCCGCAAGGGCAGCTGCAGATGCGAGAGCGTGACGCGTAGAGATGTTGGAGGTTATGCTAGTGCTCCTCAGGTGAGGGTGGCCCGTGCCACGGGTCCTGCAGTCAGCGCAGGGCGGTGAGTCGTAGTTGGTGGAGTGTTCGGCTGGGGTCGCTGCTGCTGGGCGCAGCTGTTCCCTGCCCTCGACGGCCACCCATCCATGCGTGGGTGTGCGGCTGGTGGTGGCAGCGTCTGTCGGTTGTGTCGTACTGGTAGGGCTACTGGTGATGGTCGATATCGCCATTATTGGACCCAGTGTCCGCCGGGGGCTCGCTGTAGGAGTCCCTCTGCGGTGGCCTGCGGTGGACGGTCCTGTCGTGGTAGATGGCTTGGTACATGATCTTGTGCGTCATCTTCTGGTACTCGTCCAAGTCCTTGATGTCCATAGTGAGCTGCACAATGACGACGGCGTCGGTGATGATGCCGATGTATGCCTCGTGCTCGATTTGCCGGTGTCGGTCCGCCCCTGCAGGTTGAGCATCGGCGAGTCGGGATCTTCTCCTGGTGCGTGACAGGATCAGTGGTCCTTTGCCCCCATGCTCAAAAGCCTGTCGGTATCCAGGCTCATGGATCTGGCTGTGTCTCGATCCAGGTGGTGTAGACGTGCTCGCCCTTGGTGATGGGTAGGCAGAGGCACTCGTACTTGGTCTCGGGTGCCCAGTCCTTGTATGACTTGCGTATTTGATTGATGTTGCCGTCCAGGTAGTCCATCGCGGTTCGGTAGAATGGAGTCGTTGGGAAGTAGACATCCTCCACCGCCGCAGGCGCGTCGTTGGCCGCGTCGGGTTCCTGCTCGTACTCGTCGGCGTCGTGGGTGATAGACGCTGGCGCTTGGGTGATCGCGCCGTTTGGATTGTCAGCGTTTGTCAGGTCGTTGTGATTCACATCTGGGAGCATCTGGTTCGTGTCGTTCGATGGCGCGCTGCCCTGCTTGTGGTTGGCTGCTTGGCGGTCAGCATGGCTCTGCTCCAGCTGGCTTGTAGCGTTCACCGCGCTGAGTCTCCGAGGAGGTGTTGGTGGGCACGCGCCGCCATCGAAAGCAAAAGTGCACACTTGAGTTGCGTTTTGCGCGGGCACAAATTTCGCGCCCGCGCCTGGCCCGCGCGCAGGCGGGCGAGCTGTGCGCACGGGCCGCCTCCCGCTATCTTGCGCCTCGCGGCGCGCGGCCCCACGCGAAGGGCTCGCGCGCGGGGGGGGGGGGGGGGCATTCGCATCGCCGCGCGC